CCCCTGCAGGACGCGGAGCTGGCTTTGGCCGGCATCAACATGCTGCTCAACAACGGCTTTAGGGAGTCGGACCAGCTTTTCAAACAATACAGGTGACGGACGCGCCCCTGCTCCCTCGCCCCGGCCACGCGCGCCCAGTGCCTGGCACTCGCGCTTACACCAGCAGCTGGCCCCAGGACCCACCTCCCCTTCCCGCCGGTCGCTAATCCCTGGTCCCCACGTAGTCTTTCGGGCCCGATCTGCAGCTGGCGCTTCTGCACCTTTGCCACATCGCCCTTTTCCATCCCACCCTCTGCTCGCTGTCCTTTTCCTCCCCAGGATCCGCCGCGCGCCCTCTCCGCGCTCCCTCAGTCTCCCTTCACTTTCTCCCCAGCTCATCCTCAGGGAGGTGTGCCCAGGGTGTGCTGGCTTCTCTCTCAGTGGTCGCACTCAAGCCGCGGGTCCGAGCTATGAAGCCGGAGACTCGCAGTGTTGTGACTCCGGCTCGCATGCCGCCCCGGCGGCCTGTGTGACACGGAGCACACCAGCTGCATCGCGCCTGTATCTTGCACCTCGCATTACGTTGCATCGTTGTGCATCCCAGACAACGCTTATGTTGTGTGAAAACAGACATACATGATTGCTTGGCCGTGCAGGAATTTAAAATTTTCAAGCCTAACTCTGCTTGCTCATCTACCGGCCTGTCTTCTAAAAACTCAGCTCTCAAAATGCGTTCCTAATACCGTTCCATCTATCATAGGAACATATTAAGAATTTCCCCAACTTAAAGGAAGGGAAAAAAGAATAGAGGGGGTTTTTAAAAATACATACACGAGAATGAATGTGCTTTTTTATCTGTTAGGTTTTTATCTGTCTTTTCAAAAATAAGGTGGAAGGACTAAGACCTGGTAGACTTCTTGTGAGTGTGGGAGGAGCCTTCATTTCATTGGGGACCAGAAGTGTCAGCTTTCTGGTTGAGGAGGCAAGTTTGTGATTTGCCCTTTGAGTGTTGAGAGGCTGGAACGATGTCGATTAGCAGCTTACTGGAGCACGTTGGAAGTCTGTATGCTTCACACTTGCTCAAACCCCAGTCCGTGGGCAGAGATGACAGTACTGATGTACAGTTGTGATTGAGAGCCACAGTGGAAATGAGAGAAAAGAGTTTCAGACCTCAGAGAGTGGTGGTTTCTATCCGCTGGAGCTTCCACATCCCTAACCGGGAAGCAAATATCTCAACACATATGAACTTTCCATTAGGGATATTTTACTTTTAAGTTAACTAACCTCGGCCTGGGTCTGAAACTGGGACCTTCTTAGCTTAACTCAGAACATTTTATTTTTATAACATGTAAGTCTGATTTAAAGCTTGAGCTTCACCAAAAAGTGGATGATGGAGGATTTATAATATTTACAGATTCTGCAATCTCTCTCGTGTAGTTTTTTAGCACTATGAAAATATAGTTCATGAAATAGTCTGAATTCATTTCATATACTGGGCGGTGACTTTTTAGACTGTCAGTTTGTGTTGTATGAGTTGGGGGTGGAGAAATCCGTAAGTCCTATTTACTCTCCTCAGTTGCTGGTCACAGCATGTGCATATTTCAATACTTGTTGCTTTGACATCTGTAGTATTTATTTCAGTGATCTTCCTCCCTTATATACTGCATCAGTGTATTTAAATTCTACATTGTGTGTTTACATTGAAAGCAATGCATTTTGCTTTATCTAAACAGTTTTATGCACTGTTAGAAGGCAGATTATGAGGGACAGGAAACCACAGAAATAGCAGAGAGATAATACCTTGAAAGGTATTTCATTTGAGGTAAGAAACTGAAGATAAAGAAGAAAAAAAAAATACTGTACACCTGCTCTCTGCCAAACCTAGTGCTAGACACATTCCTTTACAGTGCCTGTTCTAAGGACCACAAAAGAGTAAGGTGAATCTTACAGCAATTTGGTAGCAAGGGACTGGAGACTCAGTGTTTAGCATGGTCCAGGACACAGACCCCGAGGTCTAAATCGAGGAGGCTGCATTTTTACCATTTTGCCTCTCTCGCTAAATGTATTATATTTTGTAATCTTCCTTGCAGCCTTATTTTCCAGCAGTGTTAAAAGCTTTTTTAGGGATGGCGGGAAGGAAAAAGACAGAGACGGACAATGATAGCATCGTTCTATCAGCCTTCCTCTGCTTCATCTGATTTGTGACATGGAAAGTTATTGCATTATGCTCTCCCCAAGTGTGTGTCATCATGTTTTTGAAAGCATGATTGCATATAGGTATAGTCATGAACCGAGTTTTGCCACTTTTGTAGCCGTTAACTTTGGTTTCTCAAACTTTACATCCTTGCCTGTAAGACTGGAGTACTGAGCTGGCCCCAGGGCCTAGTGATTAAGAAAGCTGGAAGTCTCATGGTTGACTATTATTTGACAATCTTTTTTTTTTTCTTAAGAATTATTAATTTACTTAATTCCATTTGTTCTTTTTTAGATTTGACCAAAGAGAGAGAGAGACAGAGAGAGAAAGCAAGAAAGTAAGTCGCCAGGTCTGGGACTTGAACCTTGGTCGACCATATGGTAGTGTAGCACCTTAATCACCACACTACCTGCCATCCCAAGGTTGACTGTGATTTGAATCCTAACCCTGGTGGCTTGAAAAACACACTATGTGTGTGTGCTCCACATCCCAATGGGATGGAGGAATGGGGGAAAAGGGATTACAGTGTGACGATGACTCACATGGTGCATTCTCATTCTGTCTCTCACTCTCTGGTGAGTACATGTACCCTCTAGCAGTACAAAATAAATACATAAAATAAGAGGAGGAGGAGTAGGACTGACATCAGAGTGTGGTTGTTAGAGTTAAAAGGAACGGTCCATGGTACTTGGTACAGTGTAAGCACTCAGTCAGCCCTAACTGGATTTGTACTCGACGCCTTCACCACTAGTAGGGGGCTCTCCCCTGACTACATAGTTTTGAAAACAAGATCAAACATCTTGTATGTGGGTAGCATTTGTATGTAAAGTTTGAATATTGCATGGAATGATTTAAGGTCCCATTATGTATTGGGAGACTTCTCTTCCTGTTCTAAAGTTGATTGGCCTGTTGGAAGGCTTAGCATTGACTTTGCTTCCCAAGTTCGAGGAAGACCTCTAGCTCAACCTACTTACAGGTGGATAATTAAATTACTAGCTCTGTCTTCTTTTTGACCATGGTTTTGTACCAGAAGCCACCCTTTCCCTGCCAATAAACCTTCCAGAATCTTATCATTGCAGTTTAACATAGAAACATGTTTTGTATCTAATATAACAATGGCATTTTTATTAAAGCAAGGTCACTTTCTCTTGCCATGTTACTAGGGTGATAAAGTTTCAACAGTTACCTAGTGAGAAATAGTTACTTTAGAAACAAATTATCTCAAGTGCCTTTCTGAATTAGTGGAGAGTACAGATTGTATAATTCAGATCTCATTCTTAGAGGAATTAGAAATGTATGCACAGAGGAGAACTTCTTTTGAGATACACGACAACTCTCTAGTTGCGATTTCAGAATGTAGCTGCCACTTCTGCAGTTACCATGGTAATAATGTAGTAACAATTTACACTGCTATTGGTGTTAAGCCACCATCATGCACTTCAGGATGTTTTCCCAGAAGTCAGTACAGATTTGTGTTGTTTTGGAGCCTTTCTGTGTTGAGTCTAGGGACATCCATTTGTAAATTCAGATACTGATCCCCTGAAATCAAATACCTGATCTTGGTTTTAGGGTTCAATGCTCTAATTATCAGTACTCACTACTGTTCCCCCAACACCCAACACATATACACTCACTTACTCTTTTTTTTTATTTAAGAGGTTTTTGCCTTAGGGTGTCAGGTACTGATCCCCTGAAATCAAATACCTGATCTTGGTTTTAGGGTTCAATGCTCTAATTATCAGTACTCACTACTGTTCCCCCAACACCCAACACATATACACTCAATTACTCTTTTTCTTTATTTAAGAAGTTAGGGTGTCAGGTACTGATCCCCTGAAATCAAATACCTGATCTTGGTTTTAGGGTTCAATGCTCTAATTATCAGTACTCACTACTGTTCCCCCAACACCCAACACATATACACTCAATTACTCTTTTTCTTTATTTAAGAAGTTTTTGCTTTAGGGTGTGTATACTCACCAGAGAGAGAAAGAGACAGAGAGACAGAGGCAGTGAGAGGGAAAGTGAGAAATCACTCCTCAGGGGGAATGGCCATGCTGCAGTCCCTTTTCCTCCATTCTTCTCTTGGGATTTTGGGCATGCACACACATGCACCCAGAATGAGTTTTCAAGCCTCTGGGTTTGGGACTTGAACCACAATTGGCTATGTGGAGGTCCAGCGCCTTAACCACTATGCCATCTGCTGGCCCCTACACTCACTCGCTCTTAATTGAGGTTCATACATGTGACTCACTCTCAGAACTTTAGATATTTAGGAACATGCTAAGACAGACTTAGGGTTATATGCACAAGACAGGTACTAGACTTTTAGGTGTTACAGTGTACATAAGATTTACAGGGGGAGGAAAGTTGGAAGACATATCCCTGGTCTACTGGAGCTGATAGGAGCAGAGGCAAGCAACATGTAGCTCAGCTTGAAGTGCAGTTCTGTAGAGGAGATTATGTCTGAGCATCATTACGGGGCAGGCTGAGTAGTTGAAGGAGAAGAAACTGGGAGGGGTATTGGGAGGACAGAAGGAGAATATGGGGGGGGGTGAGGTTTAAGTGGAGGTCTAGGAGAGGACAACAGAGCAAGCCCACAGAGATGTGAAATGGCAGTGGCTAAGAGGAGTCAGAACTGCAAGCTGATCAGTATTAACTAGGTTATTGTGCTGGCCGGCTCATTCTACACATGTTATTTTCTTTTCACTGCTGGTTGGTCCCTGTTTCCTGTGAGTCAGTGTGTCTTTTTCCGTGTTACTTTGCTCTTAGATGTCTACTGAACTCATTCTTTTCACCGTGACCTTTGACTACAGGATAGCCTGTCACATGCTGCTGGCTCCTTGGAGCTTCAGAATCCTAATGTCACCATTGTTTTGGTTTGGGCTTGAAATACAGGGTCTTCAAAATGTTCATGGA